TTCTCAGTGTGTGCTTACAGGTGGGGTGGTGAATCTTTAGCATCGAAGAGGAAAACTGCAGGAAATGCTTCGCGGTTGACTGCGACTTAATAAAAAAGAAATATGTGCTGTGTTGTTTCCTACGTGAAGGGAGTGATCGATTAGGTATATGAGGGCTCGGAAATGCTTTGCAGCGCAAAAAATCCCAATTTAGCTGAGAAAAAAATAAGTCTAGTTGTCAGGCTTACAGTGTGTCGGTAAGTCTTGCTACGATCAAACAAAGCATTACACAGGATCTGTGCTTTATGGACAGCTTGCAACGACTCCCCGTACAAATTTTGAAACATTTTCTTCATGATCAGGGCCAAAACGCCATGCACCAGCTGGGTTGCTTCATGCAAGGACGTACACATGTCGACTGTGAGCGTCATTAGACCACTCGGGAACATATATTATAAAAGCGCTTTTGTTAGAGTGTCTTACCAGCAACTCCTTCACAAGATAATAATAATAAAAATCAGAGTCAGATCTATTAAACGGGCTGACAGGATCCTCGATCATCTTTCTTAAGCTGTCTGCATAGGATAAGCATAGAGATCACGTTCTGGAAAAACCAATGTTGAGACAGGCCCTGTCCTTCGTGTTTGTTATTGACTCCGTGCAAGAATTGGACTGTGAAAGTGTTATGCATGCGGATGAGAGCAAAAACTAGAAGGCCATTTACGGTGCTGGTGATGATTATAACCTCAAAAAATTTGTTTGCTGGTTGGGAGAATGGTCCCATCAACGGTTCCTGCAACCCAATTTGACAAGCGTGTAATAGCGGGCTTTTGTTTTGTAGGGAGTGAAAAAATATAACAAGGCGGGAAATTGGAAGAGGGTGGCGTGACTAACATGCTCCTCTTTGACTTGCATCCGTCGATATCTTACCGTCGGAGACACAACACTGAACTATTCCAAACTCACCCCTCCAATCATATTGACACATTCCCCTTTATTCTGTTTTGTATCCATCGCTGTCATTTTCGCTCTCTTTTCTCCTGTCCTCCGACCGCAGAATATATTTATTCATTACTCAGCGACTTCTGTTACATACACTGCCTGGAATGACCCCTTTGTTGGAACCATGAGTGATATTCCTGAGGATCATAATTCCGTGTCAGATGACGGACCCTTTTTAGGAGCAACCCCAGGTGTAGCTACGTCACTAACTACGCAGCCATCCGGATCACCCGAAGGTGAGTATGCCGCGGCTACAACAAGCGAACAGAATTAATATTTGAAAACTGAATCCAACGCTCCTGTATGCATGGTTACTCTCTTGCCACGGTGCTACCCTAACGATCATCGGTCGAAAGTTATCTCAGTGAGGAAGAAGGGTCGAACACCGGAACATTTTGTTAATTATCTTGAGCTTTCTCTGACGATGGACTTCTGCACCAGTCTGAAAGCTCAGAACAATAAACAAAATGTTCCAGTGCTCGAATCTTCTTATACACCTATGCGTACCCATGGAACTCGAAATTGTGCCTTAATTCGTGAATTATCTCAGTGTTTGAATGATGATTACACTAAATCTATCCACTAACTACCGCATGGCTGTTAAAGTGGCAGCATTAATAATTCAAGCAAATCAACGGGCCTTCGTAGTTTTCGATTAAGATTACTGCTCGTATGTACTAGAAACATTCGTACAGCCAAAATTCAAATAAGCTCTCGAGGATTGCCGATTTTACTTAAACAGTTCGGATCTGACCTATCAAGGTAGTCACAGGAAAATTATATTTCAGATAAGCGACTCGGATGGATGTGCAAACTTGCTTTCATCCGAGCTAAAAGGAAGGTTTGTAGGCTTGACATGAGCCATCAGCGACGTGCATGGGCTGAACTGCATTCTCCTGTGTGGCGACTTCTTTCATTTCGTTAACACAGAACGCCTCAGTGAACAACTCTCCAGTTTTCGTAGGCGTGAAGGTGGATTAAATGTTTGAACTTACTTTTTCTCCGAATCGGACTATTGAATCACGGAACAGACTACCTAGATAACTTTACTGTCCAGTATGTGGAAAGCCTTATACAAGTCTTTGACAGACAAGTAGCTCCACCATAGGCGGTCTGTCTTCTGCGCCAATTATGCGTACTCTTGAAAGTGAGAAAGTACATTCGGCCGAAATGATGATCACGAATCCCTTACGCTGGTACTAGTACGCCTAATGGATAAGTGACTCTGGGCTGGTTGCAACCGACAACTTCGGTTTGCGCTGGTCTGTTCTAAGCCCACATCCGACCCCGTACTAGATGCCATAAAAATCGATTTACCTTATCTACTAAGTGATCGATTCGGTAAGCAGCACAATTGAGGCGATATCTTTGCCCAAAAAACACGCTTTGACTGATGCTGTTTTGTCGTTTTTTTGCCTGACTGTTAATCGAGCCATGGATAAAGATCTACACTGTTATACGTGACTACTTTATACAATTATTATTATTACTGCCAAACGTATACTTGCGCCGCGGTCGACTGCTTATCTAACTCCTTATCTCCTACATAGATTTTCTAGTCCACAATTTTGCTCATGCTTATCTTCATTGTATATTTTCCAATTGAAAAGTTTCTTCCCTTACAGTTGACGGGGTTGGCGTACTATCGGACCCATCGGTCAGACGTCATACATCGTGTTTGTCAAGGAGAATTTTGCAACGACCAACCCAATTAGGGTTCTGTGGGTTCTGTGACTCCAAAGCACTCAGAGTAATCGTATAAATCATTTGTTACACGATTCAAGGATGGGCGACATTCTTCTCTTTTTTAATCCAGCCTTGTGCAATTGCATCCCTGTATTAAACATTTATATCACCGTCGTCTCTTCATCATGCTCCAAAATTCTCAGGTTGGTCGTGTCGCTTGTATATATGTAAGGATGGCATACTTCACTCAAGGCTATCAACAGTCAGACCACGCCTTTATCAAAGTAGGGGAAATTATCGTCGAAAGTTTCCTGCACTTTTCAATGAGGTTTGCGGTTCAATCCTCACAATGTATATGAATTTGTGGCTGGCTCATTAGTAAGTAAAGGTGCCGATTCGAGTCGAGCGCTCGTGAAATGAAGGCTGAGACACTTAAAACCAGTTTGCAATATGAAAAACGAGGCAAACCACCTATCAAAAATTGGAATTTGAGAAAGACCTGATGAAAGAAGGAAAATCTAGACCAGAGACCGTCATTTTACTAGTCTGATTATCTGGCGGGAAAAGGAAATCCCCGTCAACTAACAGTCGCTCTCCCGCGCTGGGTTTGGTCTCACCTACGTTTTAGCGAGCGTCAATGACAGACCCCGACATCATTATTTATGACATCCCAGATCCCTATCTAGTGCCCAATAAATTAAGTCCTGTCATCATTCGAGGCACTGGTGATATTACCATGTATGCATTTCTTCAGTTGTGTTGATTGCTTCTTTATTAGTTTTGGCATGAACAACGTTTTTAACGAGGAGTTTCCTTCCGAACTTCAAGGCAAAGTCGCCCCAGAGGAATACCAAGAAACTATTTCCCGAGTTAACAGAAAGCTTCGAAACTCTATGCCTGTGAATTTGAAGTGGCTCCTTTGTGGCTTCATATGCTGCTGCTGTACCCTTGGCTGCTCTATGTGGCCGGCCCTTTGCGTTAATCGAAAAATCAAACGGGATATCGAAAAAACTCTTAGAATTGAAAACGCGCGGTTATATAATCAGCTAGGTCTCCGTTGGAGTCTTACAAAACAAAGGTCCTCCGAGCCAGTTGTCCTCATGGAATACGTATGTCCGGTTCTTACTAGAGGATCAATTTTTGATTTTTTTACAAAATATTGTTAAACCTAAGCTTACTCGGTCTTCTCGTTATTCATTCGAAACCAGAAGAATCTGTTTTCAGAGTTCCGATATACCTGCTATCTCACAGCTTGCTTTCTCGTCTTAGTGGAACCCTGCAGTATTCGCGAATGCTCCGTTGTGAACGTTTCGCCTATAGCCCTCCTTTTCGAGCTCACATTGTAACATTTTTATAAGTTAACTTAAGTTTCACAAGATGAGAAGCACATGATAGAAATGCAGCTGTTGTAGTCTTCTAAAGTTGCGCACGTAATTTTACAAACCATAGCTTGTCGTCCCTAGTTGGTTATGACGTACTCTATACCTAACTCGCCGCACTTTTCTGCAAGATTTCATAAGACGTCTCAGTTAAGGCATTACGGTTGACTGTTGCGTGTTGTACAAGTCATTGTTCTAGGGTTGTGCTGGCCCCCACAATTGAGTGCTAATCTCTGTTTCACGGTTTTGATTGATAATACCCCCTCTCTGGCCACTCCTTTTTTGAATACCTGCAGTTAATGATTGATAATGTTAGACGAAAACCTGTAAGATTGTAGGTCGCACAATTTGCTGAACACTTCTTTTTACATCTTACGTTTGCCAGGTTAGTTTCAATTGCTTTGAGGTGTCCGTTTTGTTTCCCGACTGTATTTACTATGGTTTTCGGATTAAATAATATAAGGATGAGGAAGGCCTCCTCCTCAGTCGCATTTTTGGGGTCTGTGAAAACCAATTACAGTCTGCTCGTGGAGGTTTCGGGTGTTAGGGACCACAGCTACTGGCGGATAGTTTAAATCCTCGGGTACCTGAGACGCCTTTAAAATGCTTATAACTGCCTATTTGAATGTTCAAACACCTTACCACTACTTAAAAGTCATCTTATAACATTACCTATTAAAATACATGGCTCCAAGTCACCCGTTAACACTTCTAAAATTGTTACTCTCGTCAAGGCAAAAACTAATCTTGTTACCCCTACATCCGAAGATGCGCACTTTCTTATAGTATTCAACCCTCTGCGTCGTCTCCTAGCGCCTGCAGTATATAAGAGTTAGATCGGCGCATTCACCTGTCCAGGGAACAGCTAAAATAAATGAAAGTAACTAGATATGCCCTACGCAAAAAAAAGAAATCCGCGAATAGGCGAAAACCAACGGTAATTATATGAACAGCCAGGTAGATTGTGACGATCGCAGAGAAATGACACCTGGATGGAAGAAATGAGATTGTCCGGTTGTTCAAATGGCGCAGAATCTCTAGTCCTCGTTGATGTATCGTTGTGTCCACGGCATAGTCTCGGGTATTTTGGGTATGAGTAGCCGTTGGCGACTACAGTTAACAAATACTTTTTAGCACTGCGTTCGAAAGAATTGTAATGGTCATTATTTAAGTTTTCTGTCATTCCCATCGGTTACTGTCGTAATGTGTAGTCTGTTTCACTGATGAAACAGTTATCTGTCTGGTCTAGTTCGGTCGCTTATCCTTTTTTATATTCTGCTCTTTGGCCTCCTGACAGGGAATCCGGTTTTGTTAATTCACTTTCATGGCCCGAAAGTAGTGTCTTGTTTCAAACTTTTACTGCATGCCAACTGGTTTTCATCCTCTCGAGCTTTCGATCCTGGTCTGTGTAGCGCTAGCTTAATCACAGTTTTGAATTACACTTTCGTGACTCCGGCCACTTTGGCGAAGACATCGATATCCTGACCACTTCGATCCTTACATCTGTCGACACTTGAGGCATCTGCCTGCCTGAAAGGGGTCGCATATGCCTGCCTAACTTTCCTCTCTAGTGTATCGAAACTGTATACATTGGTTTGTTTTGTGGTGGGTTTGACAATCTCCAGGCTGGTATTAAAGAGCGAGCGGCAAAAGACGCTCTTTCTGACCCAGTTTTTGCAGCACCAAAATTCCTTTTCTAACTTCGAGTTTTATGCAAATTTATAAGGCTCTTGCCAGAC